GTGCTTATGTAAAACACTAGGTTCAAGCCCCACTCTCCAGCGTGGGGGAGGGGAGAAGGAGGGGGTGAAGAAAGGAATGGTGAGGGTGGAGGGAGGTGCAGGAGAGAGGAAGAGAACACACACACACAGACACACACACACACACACACACACACACACACACACACACACACAGGAGCAACTAAAGAAGAGAAAGAAGTCACTCATTGTTCCCCTAGAGCAAACAGTTGGCTTCAAGCATCCGTGTGATTTAAATTTTAAACATTCTGGGGAAGTTTCTGAGACCATGGAAAGCATATTAACTCAACATAATTAAACTCTCACTAAAATAGTAAAATGTAAAGGCAACATACTTGGCATGATACAAACATGAGTCCACTCAGCTATCAAGCTAGACTGCTGGGGGAGAGGGGGAGCTGACATCCCAGTCTAACCTAAGGGCTAGAGAAAGGGTTACATCTATAGCTGACCTGTGTGGTGCTCCCTTTCCCTGCTCCTCCCCAGCCCAGAGAAACGTCAAAGTGGACTGGCAGTGGTCCAGAAGGGCTCTAGGAATGGGCAGACCTAAGGCCTTCCAGGAAGTGAAGTGTTTGTTTTGGCAGGAGGATTCTGCAGAGAGCAAAGAAATGGCCCAGATAGAGAGATGGCATGTGTGGACAGGAAGGAAGACTACCATACCAGCACCTCAGCTCAGACAGGGACACGAAAACAGTGAGACACACACTGACGTCTATTAATTCCTAACTGTAAGCAGAGGCCAGAATTCATACTGATTACTAAAACCCTTTCCCCTGACCATTCTTGATACAATTTTGTCTGGTAAAAGAAGGAAAATTCTTTAGTCTCTTCTGTAATAGGTACAACACAATCTCTAAGTGAGTGTATGCTGTGCCCCTTGGTATCCCCTTCAACACTTATGATTTATATTTCTTGGTAAATATTAAGAACTATTCCATCAGAAATAAATCAGCTTTCACAGCATATTGTATGCTTCCTGTGTTTCTCTTCCTTCGTTATCACCAAGGACATTCCCCAAAAAACAAATCTTTTTGTTTCCAAAGCAACCATATTCTTCAACATTAATCTGTTCCCAACTTCCAAGCTGCTGCTGTTTAATGACATCATACTGAGTTTCTAAGGTTCTTTTTAGTGAAGCCACAATGATGTACAGAGAAAGTTATGTGGTGAATCAATTAAACTATAAACAAAAGGGCTGACCTCAGTATGATTGCAAAATTTCCAGAACTCTAATCTTTTATCACTAGTTTCCCCAAAAGGGTTCTCTAGTCTGCTAGCTACTTGCAAAGCAACGTTAGCAGACTAACAGTTTCAACCACGATGTAAAACAATGAGTGTGCCTAAGAATTTCTAGGAAGGTCACCTCCACCGATGACTGATAAATTAACCTAAGCAACTTTAATCCCAACTAAAATTACAAACACCTCTTTCAGAGGGCTGTACAATATGATTCAACTTCTGTCTCTTTTCTCATAGGTTTTGATGAAGCACAGGGGCTGGATAGGAGCTTGCTTTGCAAGCATAACGGATTCAGCCCAACCCCCAGACCCATATAGAAAATCTAGGCATGAGCTGGGTGGCGGTGGCACATGGCTTTAATCTCAGCCCTTGGAAAGCAGAGACAGGCAGATCCCAGTGAGTCCGGGGCCAGCCTGGTCTACAAAGTGAGTTCTAAGACAGCCAGGGCTACACAAAGAAACCCTATCTTGAAAAACCAAAAACAAGAAAACAAACAAACAGAAAACAAACAACAAACAAAAAATACCTGGGCATGCGGGTGTGCACTTGTAACCCCAGCACTAGGGAGAAAGAAGCTGTAAATCCCCGAGGCTCACTGGAGAGAGATTGGCCTAGTAGATAAGCTCCAGGACAAGAGACAGCCTTATAAAGCAAGGTGAAGAATACTTGCAGAATGGCACCTGAGCTTGTCCCATCACCTCTGTGTGCACATACAGTCACACAGACACAACCTTACAGACACACACACACAGGTACACACACGTGCACAGTCACACACATGCTCCCCAACAGCCACATGTACACATATGCACCCACACAAACATGCAAACGTGCAAACACACGCTCACACACAGGAAGGGAAACTGCCTCTCCTTGGTTTGAGTACTCCACTGTTATTCTCCTTCTTTCCTTGGTAATTAGTGAGAGAGTCAAGTCTCGACTTGGAAGCTGTGTTCAATGGTGACACTGGACAAAAACAATTCAAACTCTAAACATTGTCTGCTTGTCGTGAACCAATAGGTGTATCACAGTTCCACTAGCAAAGTGACAGTCTACCTCATCCTGTCTTTTGAGTTCTCCTGCTGGCATTCTGTCCCTAGTGCTGGATAAATCTTGCAGTGTGCCTCACAGAAAACCCCAGGGCATGGAAATGAAGTCGTCGGGCTATGGATTCAGCCACACTAGGGATGAAATGTTGTCTTTGTCTCTCAGGGCCTGAGCTTTCAACATGAATCAATCCACAAAGGCCGCAGCTTCCTCGTGTGTCTGTCACGCTCACTAAAGTAGAACACTCACAGTACAGCACGAGTGGGGTAAGGTATGAAATCCCAGGTAACAGAAGGAAGCCATAACAGCCTGTGCCAGAAGTTGCAATGAACAGCCATTCTCCACGTGTGGAGAAGGCTAAATTTTCTGCCTGGGTGCCTGCCTGTGCTCCAGACTTGGGGGCAAGGCTTATGGCTCCAACTGCTAGCAAATTGCCTTCCACACTTCTAAGTTCATCCAGTTGCCCCGTCCTCCCCAAAACCCTAGCACAGCAATGTGGTTCCTGGTCCCTGCCTCTCTCACTCTGTACAGGGGCAGTTCAATTAACTGGGTCAGAGACCACCATACCCCAAATGAAGATAAGTGTAGAGTCTAGGTCTCCAGAAAAGAACAAAGAATAGGAAGGCTGAAGCAGCCAACGATAAATAGACCTCATAATTCTGCTTTAGTCAAAGGCATTTTTAAATCCCGGGGAGGTATTACTATCACTTATCACCAAGAACCATCAGGAATAAACACAAAGTCCCTTTGTGAGCAGAGCAATATACTTGCAACATGGCCTGTGAACCACACCAGTTACTGACATGAAAGCCAACCCCATGAATATGTATGCACATGTCTATACACACACACTACAGTCACATTCATATTCATACACACACTCCTATAAAACAAACTACAAGGATCCGTGTTGATTGATGCAGCAATTTGCTTCTAAATATCCCACCTTATCTTCTCAGCTGTTGGGTGGACTCGGATTATCTGAAACTTCATGGGCTCCTTTGTTCCATAACCAGAGACTCGGCTACTCTGTGGCTTGTCTAAGAAAGAATTTCACTGTAGTCTAGGTTGGCCTTGAATCTTACTCACTGTTTAACTGAGGATGACCTTAATTCCACATCTTCCTGGCTTCACCTCCAACTGCTGAGATTTTTGAACCGCTTTCTTCCTTAACCACAGCTTCAATCTACAGAAGTTTCCATCTACACCCTCTAGTGTGAGTCCAGAAGACATGGACTGTCAGGTTCTTAACTGCAGACAAGGTCCATTTGTGGTAGTACTACAGGCAGGAAAAAGAGTCTATATCCCACACTACTTCAAAATGTTCATGTCTCTTCCTTGACCTCAAGTTTTAGCCTCCTTTTTCTCAATGAATACTAAGTTTATAATACTAAAAATAATTCCAATGGCACTGGCTAAAGAAGTACAGTCAGCGAAAAGTCATTAATAAAATCATTAAATTATTCCAGTTGAATTCCAATTAAAATTTATGAGGCATAAATCTTTAACATATGTTCATTTCTTTAAATTGTAAATTACTGTTCTTTCAAATCCAAGGAAGTCTTGTACAGTAAAGCACTCTGCTGTTTTCTCAACAATGAAAAAGAAAAGGCAACTGTTTCTATGAAGCCCATTACAGGAAAGTAAAACTGACAGGAATTTCCTCTCACCTGATATGTATTGGAAAAGATGTCCAGGTTTTAAAAATAAGTCTTCTGATTAGATTCACTCTAATCAACAGCCTAATACTGAACTCAATTACATCACTAGTCACTATTTGCCCCACAATCCCAACCACTAAGAAGAATTCTCATGAGCTAGTCTTTCCAACATGGTCATCATTACAGCCCAGGTATAAGGCTGGCATCACCATTCCACCCAAAATTTTACACCGGGTCATTGCACCTGCAACAGATCTCTCCAGAGACCCATTGAGAGGAGTGCACCAAGCAGAAGCCAGTGGACGTCCTAGATAGCTGTATCCACAGTGTCTCACTCACATGTGACGCTTGTTTAGGGACAAGGTTCTGGATTCTGTGGCTAGGTACTTGGTAAGCCTTCTGGAGATCTCAGGAGGGGGCACTTTATATATGGAAAGGGCATGAAAAATCTGGGGCCACAGGGGCAAACAGGGTTGGAAGCTGCCTCCTGGTACTCATGACCTTGATTCCACTTCTGCAGGGGTGTGGAGGGCATAGCTCTGACTCCCTCTTACCATGAAGTTGGCCACTCTAAGGAAGCTGGCTGCCATAAAAGTCCACTACCCCATCCTCTGCAAGGAAGCAAGGAGAACAGTCTACTAGTAGCCTCACAAAACTAAATGTCACCAACCAGGATCTGAGCATCTAACCTGGTGAGAGGCCTGCAGTGAGTACCCACACTCTGACTTGAGCTCTCTGGGTCCCAGGTCCATAGGACACAGCCAAGTCACTTCCTGGCCCACAGAAACAGAGGTAATGAATATGCTGTGTTATGGCGCCCAGCAATGGATAACTAACAAGTATCCAATACATAATACTACTGAATGTAACGGGCAGAGAATCATAGTATATACTTGAGAGCATATGACAGGAGAATAAAAAGAAGACACATTTGCTTCTAGAAAATCTTATGTAAACACACTGGGAGAAATTTTACTTCCTTCATAATAAAGGGGAAATCCTTTGATTAGAATGTTTACCAAAAAGCTTCCTTACCTTGGATGCACTGCAGTGTCCCATCTTCGGCTCTTATTGTAAAGGTCTCACCTGGATTAACTTGGACAAGAATAACCTGTGAGAACAAGATAGAAACTTCCAGTTAGCACCAGTGCACTGGGCATTCTAACAGAAACTTCCAGTCAGCACCAGTACACTGCAAACTCTGATAGAAACTTCCAGTCAGCACCACTTTAGCACAAATTCTGAAAGAAACTTCCAGTCAGCACCAGTACACTGCAAACTCTGACAGAAACTTCCAGTCAGCACCAGTCCACTGCAAATTGTGACAGAAACTTCCAGTCAGCACCAGTGCACTGGGCATTCTGACAGAAACTTCCAATTGACACCAAACACTGTGCATCCTGCCTCTTTTCCAATCTGAGGTTCTGTACTCAGCTGGAAGCAATGTCACCAAATCTTGTATCAGTACAAAACTTAGGGTACAAATTTTAACCCCACTCAAATTTTGGGAAATATAGGACAGACGTGGCACAATATACTCTTGTAGGATCACATGCATAAACACAAATAATTTTTTTATTTTAAATGTTCTCATGAGATGCAATTTAACATCAACTTCTTTTTATGTACCACAATGTATCTCCTCTGCCACACTATTCAGATCAAAGTCATTTATTTATAATATGAATCTTTACCATCCACATATTTAGTTCAAGTAATAATTCACAGCAGGAGATACTGCTGAGGCAAGGATTTCTTTTAATTAGGAAATACATTAACTGAAAATCATCAGAAACATTCAGGGGAAAGCAGCTCAAGCCTCACCCCAGATGCTTCATCTTATTTTGAAGAATAAATAGTTACAAAATAATTTGCTTTCTCCCCCCCCCAACAGTAATTGAGTCAATAATCTTTCAAGCTCCCCCACCCCAATTTTCACCAATATGAAGGTGAGATACCATTTTAAGAACTCAAAAGGAGGGCTGAAGAGATGGCTCAGTGATTAAGAGCACTGGCTGCTCTTCCAGAATTCCTGAGTTCAATTCCCAGCAACCACATTGTGGCTCATAACCATCTGTAATGAGATCTGGTGCCCTCTTCTGGCCTGCAGGCACACATACAGGCAGATCACTGTATACTTATTGGGGGGGGAGGGGGGCGTCAGAAGGAAATCCCTTTAGATCTATAGAGTGATTAAGGCATCTCCTGCTCTCCAGCCTCAGGTTTTAGTCATTTCTTTAACAGGGAAACGGAAATCGTCTGAGTCAGCTTTGTTTATATAAACATACATCATGTCTCTATTACACTACACCCAGTAAAACAGCACTGCAGTAAAGGGAGGGAAATGGACCTAAGGGAAGGGGGAACCACAGACTATCAGGGATATGAAAGGAAAGGAGGAGTAACAGGGAATGAGGGCTAAGTGGGGAGAGGGTTGGAAGAACAGTCACAGGAAGAATGGTAAAGAAAAACATATGGAAAGCTAGTACTTTATAAGCTTCCTAAATTTATTTATTTTTCATATAAATAGTTTATTTGGAGCTACCCTACATAGGGGATAATGCTTGTCCAAAAATCCCATGCCAGGTGTGGGATATCTCCCCTGGAGTCATTGGTCAGACCCCCAGAACAAAGTAAGCTATTATCATTGCTCTTGGTTACCCATCAGAACTTGATGGGTAAGACCCTACTGCTGAAGAGTCTAATATTTTGGTCACAGGACACAGAGAAATCAAGTTGGTGCTACCTTGGAAGCTTCCTTGGTGCTGGTGAACTTTCATGGTACCACAAGCTGTAATACAAGTGACTTACTTAGCTGTGGACTCTGAGTACAGTAATGGCCAACATAACAAGACATGCCCATGATTTCCATAGCAGTACAATGTCACAGGGGTACCCAACCATTTTCTAACTCAGAAATCCTTTTTCTTTCATGGCACTTTCCATAATATTGCTGGGGTTTATTCTCTGGGCCATTGCTGACAATTCTATGGGACAAGAGTGTATATGAATTTCGGGTTGCCAAAGGTAATCTAGGACACAAAATCTGGGTATTCATTGACTTCTTTCCTTACCCTAAATCCACAGGCACACATCATAAACTTATTCTTATCCGTTTAAAAATAAAGCAGATAGGTTGACCCCATCACCATGATGCTAGAACTTGTCTAAGGACTTAAAATAATACAAGTATCATTTTCTTAAAAGAATAGAAACAACAGTAACAAAATACTTTTTTGAGAATTCTATACATGTTACAATGTAGTTGATCTCATTCACTCCCCACTAACTCCTCCCAGATCCACTGTGTGTATTTTTTTAACCCCCAATAATCCACTGGGCTAATATATGTTACCCCAAGTTTCATGGTGTGGGGCCATCCATACACTGGAGAATGGATACGCAATCAGAGGCCACACTTAAAGAAAACTGACTCTCCATGCCCTAGCTGCCATTAGCTGTCGCTAGTTCCTCAGCTAGAGGCAGGGGCATGGTGAGCCTTCCCTCTTTCTAGGCTAGAATGAGGACTACCTGATACTGTGCAGTTAAGATGGCTGCCAAGGGAACACGAGTGCAGCATTTCAGTCCAGTCCTCCCTGGCCTCTGGCTCTCAGAATCTTTCTGCACCATCAAGGGGCTCTTTTATGGTCGACCACTCCACAGATTTACATTCTACATCTTGACCAGTTGTAGGCTTGCTAGTTACTGCACACAGCGCATAGAAACCTCCTGATCAATAATCAGGAAAGTTATATGTAGAGGAAATTTTGATACTATGTCCATACAGCAAAACATAGTAGTATGTTCAGCCCTGGGCCTATGATCATCTGACCACGAGCTGACGATCTTGCTCAGATTTAAAGTATGAGGCATGTGTTTCCTCCTCTTTCACATTCCCACATTCAAACATTCTCTTCTTCCACACACTTGTCAGCAATAGCCCAGAGAATATAACCCAGAGGTATGGTGGGAAATGTCAGAAAGAAAATGACTTCCTGAACTGATGTCATACTCTGCCTACAATACTGCATGAAGAGTCATGACAGGTTTTTGTGATCACTGACTAAGCCACAATGCAAAGCATGATCTGGAATCATCCTGCCTCCTCCAACACACACACACACACACACACACACACACACACACAAGCTTACAATCAGTTCCTAATCCCCTATACTTCAATTCTTCAGAGAGGAAGATGATAGGTAAATGACTTGTAAGCATCATACCAACATATCTCTCTTCAAATGTTTTAGTTCATGTAATTTTCACTGCTGCTAAATTGCTATGACAACCAGGTTATAATCTATCAAGCTACCTTACAAATGAGGCAAAGTTTGTGCCTCCTAAGAGTGATTTCTCACAAGAGCAGAAGTCACAACTGGAACAAACTGTTCTGAACGTGGCATTGGTTATTTTTAGGAGAAAGCATTTTATTTTACTGAGGCTGACCACTGTGCCACTGTCACTGCCAATGACAAGAGATAAAAATAAAGCTGTGACACAGCAGCCCAATGTCCTGCCGACAGACATGAATGAGCCGCCTAACATTAATAAGTTTGGAGGAGTATGTGTCACATCTGGCAGACAAAGGGCACCAAATCTTCTGTATCATCAAATCAATTCTCTCCTGCTTCTCCCTCCCTCTCCCTCTCCCTCTCTCTCTCCATCCCTCTCTCTCTCCCTCTCTCCCTCCCTCCCTCCCTCTCCCTCTCTCTCTCTCCCTCCCTCCCTCCCTCTCCCTCTCTCTCTCCCTCCCTCCCTTTCTCTCCCTCTCTCTCTCCCTCCCTTTCCCTCCCTCCCCCCCCCCCCCCTCTCTCTCTCTCTCTCTCTCTCTCTCTCTCCCCTGCCTCACCCTCTCTCCCTATAGCTGCCCTCCCCTGACATAGCTGCCTTGAGTTTCCTTTAGACGATGAGTGAAACCCATCATCATTTCTGTTCCCTCACTGGCCATTTGCTGCTTTTCAGAGTTAGCATTAAACCAATTCACATTCATGCTGCGCTGTCTTTTGTCAAAGGGGAAAAAGAATTATTTTGTTCTTCTTGAGATGTTTTCTCTGTGTAACCCCGGCTGTCCTGAAACTCGCTCTGTGGACCAGGTTTGTCTCAGACTCTCAGACATCCTCCTGCATCTGCCTCTCTCTGCTTCTGCCCCTCTCTGCGCCTCTGCCTCTCTGCCTCTGCCACCCCAGTGCTGGGATTAAAGGCATGCAGCAAGAAGATATTTCATTCCCAGAGAACTGACAAAAAAGAAAGCTGTCAAAGGAAGCCAGCATGCTTCAAACCTCAAGCTACATTGCTTCATTTGATCTATTCCAATTGCAAATGCCACCTGAGCTAAGATGTATGCCTGTATGTACACACGCACGCACACACACACACACACACACACACACACACACACACACACACACACCAACCAACCAACCCCTACAGGTTCTCCAACTCATCTCTTTTCTCCAAAAAGGAAGTGATGGTTTGCCAACAACCAGAACTCATCACTGTGGTAACAATGCACTTGAGAACAATGTCCCTGGGCTAAAGAAGCAAACAGGTAGACCACAAAGATGCTGCAGGAGACAAGAGAACCCAAGAGCTTGCCCTGCTCAGCCATCCTCCACGCAGCCAGATTTCAAAGCTGGCACAACAGTAAGAGCTAAGAAGCCAGCAGATGGGTTCCACAAACAGTGGTTCACACCAACATGCCATCAGCACAGCTGGTAAGACAAACATTCTCCTCCTGCTTCTTCCTGGATTTCTGTACTCTTTCCAAAGGGTCCAAGATGTTTTAATGCCTGCTTTTCTCAAAATATCCAAGGTTTCAGCAGTTAGAGCACTTGCTGTTCTTGTAGAGAAAGGCCTGGAATTAACTTCCCAGCACTGATGTTCTGTGGCTTACAGAACTCCAGCTCTAGGGGATCAGGTGCATTCTGCAGGACACCACTGACACTCAAATACATGGGTATACCAACACACACACACTAATAAAAATAAATCTTAAAGAAAAGAGAGATCCGACATTCTCTCAACTGTCTATTTAACGTCTATAAAATTACCTCAGTGTGATATAGGCTCCTTTAGCATCACCTTCTCCCAGGCATTTTTTTTCTT